AGTAAAGGCTCAGCCTTTTCACTGGTAACTTCCCCCATCGTGTGCAGCTCATTAAAATAAATAAAATGTTGAGCGCTGAATTGGAGAGGAAAAGTCAGTCTGACTCCTCCCTCTCTCCTGCAAAGGTGAAAATTGTAACCGTTGAGAAGAAAGTGAATGAGATCCTGAACCGGTTAGAGAAGACCAAGACGGAGCGGTTCCCGGACCTGGCAGCAGAGAAGGAGTGCAGGGACCGAGAGGAGAGGAACGAGAAGAAAGCCCAGATTCAGGAAATGAAAAGGAGAGAGAAGGAAGAGATGAAGAAGAAGAGGGAAATGGACGAGCTTAGGTGTGTTGGGGCGCCGGCGGGGGGCCCTGCCTGCGGGGGTCTCCACACGACACCTGCCTGGAGCCTGACGTGGGCAAGGGAAGGGCGTTTGTGGAAACGCTTTCTGGCTGCTGCCAGTCGGCCGGAGCTGTGCGGTGTTGTAAGCGGCATCACTGCCTCTGCCGTGCTGTGCCCAGGCTCTGCCGCTTGTCAGGCCCGGGTTGGGGCCCACCTCACTGAGAAGGGTGCCCAGCACCCTGCCCACATGGGGCTTTGCGCCGGCTTCCCTGTGGTATCTGCAGCCGGCAGGGCGCCTGGCTGCCAGTCCTGTCTGCTCTCGGCTGAGGAGCCGCTCCGCAGCAGCCCGGTCGGGTCGGGCCAGCCACTTCTCTAGGCGCCTGAGTGACGCGAGGTGGGTGGGAGTCGCCCCGTGCCAGCTGTGCGGTGAGGTCCGCATCCCTCCAGCTGGCCTTGTTAGCGTGCAGATCCTTGGGGCGGGGATCTGTCCCGCTGCCGCGTGTCTTCTGAAGACCCTCAGCAGAGCCGGATAAAGCCACCCCAGCCTGGCTACTGCATGATCTCACTTTCAATGTGTTTTTCTTCTAGGAGCTATTCATCACTAATGAAAGTGGAGAACATGTCTTCAAATCAGGTATGCTTAACCTTCTGCTCTTGTGTACCTTGAAGAAATAACCAGGAGTTTGTGATGAGTGAGTTACTGGCCAGCTTTGAGCCAGTTTCGATTCGCATGTTGGCAACAGCCTGGCGTGCCTTGGCAGCTGGCGCCTTCTGTTGGGCATCGCCCTGCTCCCCTGGACTTGCTCGTGTGTTTGCTTTAATGAGGCACCGGTAGACAGGTCGTGAGCGGTCCCCGGGGCTTGCAGGCCTTGCCTTGCGCCTCCCGCTTCTGTTGGTAGTTCCAGGCGCGCGTGCCCTGCGGACAGAGCCCTGTGCTGGCGCAGACACCTGCCACTATCGGGAACACCAAGTGTGGACCCCGAGATTTTGTCTGCGGTGCAGGCCAAGTGGCCAAGCTGGGTTTGGTGCCCTCGGGCCCGGAGATGGGGGAGAGCTGGCCTGTGGCGCAGCCTGAGAGCTCAGCGTCAGCACTTTAGTATTTTACTAGAACTGTCTCAGGGACTTGTGGCTCACATGTACTGTCTCCCCAGATTTATTCTGAAGTGTCTGGGGATGCCAGTCTACTTATTACCAGGTCTGGTGAACATCGAGGCCGGGAGCGTGGCTTTGGCAAGTGTGCGTGTTTTACAGCTGGTTTACCAGCTGCAGGCGTTAAATCTCGTTACTAGTTGCATGCAGCACTTGGAATCTGAAATAATTAGAATCTAATTTACTGGCCAGTCCCTCGGACACCCTAGCCACACACGGCTGTGGCTGCCGTCTCGGGCAGTGCTGGAGTAGGACTGTCCACTTTCTGGGAAGCAGCATTGCTGAGACACTTGGAAACAGCTGATAGAATTGCAGGTCCCTTAACAGTCTAGTTACACTCCATAGTCACTGGTAGGACTTTAGGCCCTTCTTTGGTATATGGATCCTTCCAAACCCCTGTTCCTGTCTCTATGAAGAAGTTGGTTTGTGAGGCTCCTTTGTGAATTAGAGATGTTTATAATTTATTCCTGAAAGATTCCAGAGTAGCATTATGCAATTAAATAGGGCCTTGGACTTAAAATTTGAAATAGAGACTTAAACTTTCATTTGCCAACTGAGTAGCCTAATAAGTTCTTTAACTTCTTGGAGGAGCTGAATTGGCAGGAAAGGGCTCTTCTGAAGTGTAAACCAGTTCACCCCTAGTCACAGAATAAAAGTGGTCATTCCTGTTTCCCATTCAGTCCTTAGTTGCTATTTTCCCATAGAGTACCAGGATCAAAGATGATGGATTTAAATCCTTTCTAGAGGTTTTTCTTAGAGTTCTTAAATCGTTTAACAGTTACACAGAAGTTTTCACATGCCTGGACACCGATGTGTGTGTTGTAGTTACAGGTGTTTGTTGAAGTTTTGTGTTTTTTACTGGCCGTTTCCATTAGAAATCTGGGCTTATATTATGCTGCAATATTACGCATTTTCATTCCTGTTGTTAAGGGTTTAAACGTTGTGGTGTTTTGAAGCTGGGATGTATAAACATACGGTCCTCACACACACGTGCACGCGCATACACAGTCACGTACATACCACACTGTCACGTACACACACCCTGTAAGTGTGTACACATGAAGGCAGACACCGTCTTCCAGTGGTAACTGTAAAAGTTTCAGGCTTAAGAAATCACATTTGTGGCCCTCCCTGGTGGCGCAGCGTGTAAGAGCGCAACTGAGAGGCGTAGGCCACTTCTGCATGGGTTCGATCCCCGCCTGCCCGAGAGGAGATCCACAGGGCGCGGCAGCCCTCTCCTGACCGCCCGCCGCTCCCCTCAGCAGTGTGCTTCTTCAATCTGCCTGTTCTGCTCCCCGCTCTGTCTCTGGTGACTCCTCTTACCCCCCGCATCTCTGGCCTGTACCCCAGTTCTGTATAGGTAAATAAATAAATCCTAAAAAAGAAATAAAAGATAAACCACTGTAAATGACCTTTTAAAAAAAAAATCACATTTGTAGACCAGATTTAAAATTTGAAAGTGTACGTGTATTGTAAAATTTACAATAGTATTGTTCTTCTGACATTGTATAACAAAAACTTTTCTTTATTGCCAGTCATCTCCAGTGGAAAGGTCATTCAGCATTTTGACCCAAATCCAGGGATGAATGTAAGCAAGTAACAGTAAAAAAGGCTTATGATAATACAGCCTGGAGTTACATACTTTTGGTAACTAGTTTTGTTGTTTTTTTTTTTTAAGGTTATTTATGCATACATAACTGGGTTGCAGTCCAGAGATGCAGGGGATTCACCAGAGAGAGAGCGGGGAGCAGAACAGGCCGAGTAATGAAGCACACTGCTGCGGGGAGCAGCGGGTGGTCAGGGGAGGTCTGCCGCGCCCTGGGGGTCACCTCCCTGGTCAGGGGTTGAACTCGCACTGAGGCGGCCAGCTTGCAGTGCTGCGCTTTGACACATTGTGCCACCAGGGAGGCTCCTTTTTGTAATTAGTTTTTACCACAGATAATCTTAGGAATTCTGAATGTCGTACCTGGTGCCTGGCCTCAAGGTTTAGGGCGCTGTGGAAAGGTGCTGCTTGCTTTGTTCACCTGTTGTCGAGACACTTCCCCAGCAGCATTATTGTAAGTGGTTTCTTTTTCCTCTGGTGTGGTTAGAAATCGATGTTTTAAATCTTCTGTTTACCACTAACTTAGGACAGCCGTGCTAGATGACGTCTCGTTGTCTGAGAGGGCCCACTTTTGCTCCTCAGGAGCTCTTCTGTCTCCCCTCACCCCCGGCCGTGAGGGTGGCCCTCTGCTGCCTGACCCGTCGGCTGCCCCTGCCCTCGTCAGGCAACCCTGGCGTCCTGCCTGAGGGTCAGTCGCTTCTGACTGGGAGACGGCTTCATCGCAGGGCTCGTGCTCTTCAGAGCGCCGTACTCACCTTACTGCTCAGTTTGACCCGGCCCCAGGCTCCCTGTGCGCGCGTGCTGGCCCCCACGTTGTTGCTGCCGTTGTTCCTGTCGTGTTTGCAGCTCGCCGGGAGCGGAGCGGCGCCCCTTGGCCCACGCAGCCCCTCTGCCCAGCCTCCCGGCAGCGACGGCGCTTGACTCCCAGTTAGGGCTGGTGCGTGTGGGAGCTGGACGTGATCTCTGACGTAGCTTACGCACGTCCGTCGTGGAAAATACAAGGTTTTCACTCTCTTGTGGGTCTTCGTTTTGAAGATTTGCCTTCCAGTCCATAATAGTAATCCTCGAGCTGTAATCATTTGTCGAATCTCTCTAAATTTGGTCCCAGAACCACAGTCATTTTACCACCCCCTATTTCCTTCTCACTCCTTAAGTGGGAGGCGAGAGACCCAGTAGAGATACCGAAACACTCTTGCAGGGGAACCTAAAGGATACCAGCTGCCCTGAGAGTCTTGGGTCTCAGAGATGCGTGCCTCACGTCGCTGCGCTCCCTGCGCGCCTGCTCGCTCGCGGCCTTGTCACCGGTCAGACTTAACCTTGAGCTCAGTGTTTGCGGTTCAGCGTTCACCTTCAGAGGCAGCAGTTGTTAGCCTCCAGCTTAGAGGGCCGCTCCCGTCCCAGTGAGCCCCGCCTGGCTGAGCCCTCCGTGGTGGGCTGGGAGTGCAGGGAAGCCAGAGGACTGCCCGCGGGACTGGAGAGACGCAGTTGTTTCCTGCCTGGGTCTCGTCATTCCCTGCCCACCTTCAGCGGGCACCACGAGGGAGGGAAGCGTGTGTGGGCGTGCGCCCCTCGCCCTCCCCTCACAGCTGGGAGCGAGACAGCCGAAACAGTCTCAGGGTCAAAGTTGTGACTTTCAGGCAGCCGCACCGGAACTCACACGGTTGTGAGCGCTGGTACTCGGGGTGGTTTGGGGTGTACAGTGGCTCGGAAAGGAATCTTCAGGGCTTGTTTCCGAGTCACACGGTACACCCTGGAGACTGAGCCTTCGCGTGGCGTGAGATTGCGTGTTACAGGCTAGACAAGGCAGCTGACTCGGCAGCTCACCTGCTCCCTAATGACTTTTCCTGCCCAAAGAGGCCCCCGTGAGGCCCCAGAGAGGCCACCACCTTGAAGCCAGAAGTACTGGGATGGGAGCAGCGTTGTCAGACACGGAGGCAGCCTTCTCCCGCCCACGCCCTGGGGTGCTCAAGGAGCCGCCGCCTGCCCCCCTGTGCCCTCGCTCCGTTGTCTCAAAGTCGCTGTCCCGGGTGCTGTGTGCTCCAAGCCCTGGAACGACAGCTTGGTGAATGTAGCTGCTCCTCCAGCTCTTCTGAGCAACCGCCATTGAAGGTGGAGCAGCGATGAGGGGATTGTTTGTGCTTTTTGAACTATGGAGAGGCGTGAGGTGGCTTGTTTCTTAAGGCTACATCTGGATTTGTTTAATTGTTTATTGATCTAATTGAGTTGTTTTTAAGGCTCTTACGGTCTCACCTTTTGTCTCCTCAGGATGGCAACGATTCAGACGAATTCATGTGAGTGGAGAAAAAGGACCTTTTACGGATGTGAATTTAGGGACAGTTGCAGATATTTTGATTACATCTATGTTCTGAGTGACAAAAAACAAACAACAGAACTCTACCTTCCTTCTATACAAATATTAATCCGTTTTGGAGTTAACAAAATTGTTACCCTTTTTTGCTGACAGAAAAGGATAAAATATATATATATATATGTAATATTGTTGGACTTGAAGACAGCATTTAACTTTAGGAAAGTGAAAATATTTTTGCCAGAGCACATCTTGGTACCTCCTGGAAGTTGGCTGACCTTGTTTTTGGAACAGACTTTAGAACGAACCAACTCTTAAAAGACTATTTCTATTACTGTGGTCTGTCCCTGAAAATAGATGTCTTAAAAAGCGTTTCATATCCTTAAAATGTCTTTACTATGTTAAGAGTGTATCATGAACATTGTATGTGAGTGCCGTCAGCACCCCGGTTCCTGACTGGAAAGGCTTGTGGACTTTGAAGACGATGGCGGTGTTTCCAGGAAATTGCCGACCCAAATTTCCCTTCCCTGCCACCGTTAGGAGAGAGGTCCTCGTGCTCAGCTGGGCCTGGTTCCCTGCCACATGCCGCTGTCCCTGAAGGCAGCCGCTGGGCACCAGCACGTTTGAAGAAGCAGTCGGTGTTAATCAGGGCTGGGCCTTGGGCAGCTCGACCTGATTACCAGGCCACCCGGGCAACACATTTCTGCCTCCTGGGCCGTGGAGTCAAGCTCCAGACAGGCGTGGCAGGGAGTGGACACTCTAGGAATGGTGCTGAAGGAGCAGAGACGGGACGGATGTCTCGGGATAATGGCTGAAAACAGAAGTCCACATGCAGTTAGGATTTTTGAAAGAATTGAGCATTCTGCTAGCCAGCCATGTGATTTGTTTGGTCATCTGAAATAATATTTGAGTCGTAACCCCAGAGTTCAGATTTCTCAATTGTAGACTCGGTTATGTAATATTTAACAGGACTCCGCATTCGAGCTGCCTGCCGGCCGGAGTGATTCTGGGCAGAAGACACATCCTCATGCAGCAGGCCAGGCAGCCCCTGTAGAAAGAGACAAAGCCAGTGAAAGGGAGCGACCCCGGCCCGCAGGCCAGGGGCCCGCAGCGAGCAGCGGCCTGTCCTCCCTGTGCTCTGACTCGGCTGGCGGCCCTCCAGCATGGCCTTCCCTTCACTGCGTGGGACTGTGGGTGAGCCAGAAGACCGTAGAGTTTCCACTTGTCCCGAGTTGGTGTGTGGACTTGAACTGGAAAGTTCCCGGAGCGTGACTCAGAGGCCAGATTGTGAGAGGGATTGTGGGAGATGATTCCAGAAGTTAGTGGTAGTGTGTGTATGTGTGTGTGATGATTGTTAGCCCCTGGAGACCTGTGATTGAAAAATATATAATAAAAGTATCATTTTTTTATTTAGAAAGAAGGACATTGTTACATAAATTCTTAGAACTCAGCAGTGGTGGCCTTCATCCCTGCGTGGCTTTGGACAGTGCTGCAGCTTTTCTTCGAATGCTCATTTACCATAGACTCCAGCCGGCAGAGTTTGTGGGGTCTCGTGTTCCTCCTCACATGGCTGTGTCTGCCCCCAGGACCCCGGGGACTCAGTGAGGCAGCCCTGTCCCTGGCTACCAGGGGCTCTTGTTTGACCCTCAGCCACAGCATCTAAAATGGGGAGATTTGGCCTCTGGCAGTCAGTCACCTCTGTCTTCCCACTGCTTCCGAAGGCCTACTCCGGCCCCACGTTACAGGTAGATAGGGGGAACACTGCTGTCTTCGTCATGTGAGCGACCCAGGAGCCCAAGTTTAAAACGTTTCACGATAGCTTACGTGTTTTAAAATGTCAAGGCCGTGCTTCTGAGTTCCCCATGTCGTGTTCCCAGCTCTCAGACCTCTGCATTTCCCCCGCCTCTGGCTGCCGGGGGATAGTCTCCCTGGCTTCCTTGGCCCCCGAGAGAAGGACTTTGTCTCCTGGCGCATGGCTGAGGTCATCTCGTGCTCGTTGGCACATGTCCCAAGCTGCGGGGAAGTTCCAGGACGTGGGCAGCCGGCCGGATGAGCCGAGCCCGCGCTCAGATCTGTGCTCGCTGAGGTCTCCCAGGGTGCCTGCAGGCAGCGGGCCCCCCTCAGCTGGATGTCCCCAGGCCGGACAGCTGAGAGCTCCGACTCCCCCAGGAGCTCGCTACTTGTCACCTCTGCTGAATGTCAGCATGTGAAAGCTGATGAAACAAGGTGGGGGGCGCTCTGCAAGGTGGGCCTTGCTTTCCTTCCCGCATCCACCCTCCTGTGAACAGTCGGTGAGATGAGGGCTGACGCCTGCCCCTCCCCCCGGCTCCCATGCTCGGGGGTGCGCTGGTTTCTGCCACGCTGCCCGCCTTGCAGAGGAGGCTACCGTTACGTGCTCATGATTTCTGGAGTGTGCGTAGGAGAATTGGGGTTCTTCTGGCCTGAAGGCTGCTCGTTGGTTTTAAACCTTTTTCCGACCTGCCCGTCAGGTCCCGGGTCAACCAGTCAAAGTTACTAAAGAGGAAAACGCGCCTTGAGGCGGTGCTTCTGTCTCAGCCTCCCAGAGCTCTCTTCGGTTGTGACACCCTTAGCTTTGTCATATCCCAGCCCTCAAAATGGAAGAGTTGACCTTACGTCAAGGAAATGTCTCCATGAGGCTCCACGCTGACTTCAAAACCAGAAGGCGTTGAAGAGTCTCTGGGGAGGGAAGGATGGCCTGAAACGGTCAAGCTTGAATTCTGCCGCCCCTAGCCGGAACAGCTTCCTTTTCAGCAAGAAGCCGGGAGGGGCTGCGACCCCGCATGGGTGTCCGCACGCCCAGGGACCACCCCTCCTGTGTGCCCCTTCGCCCTGGTGGAGAGACTCCCGTCGCCACGCCACGTTGTGACCGGCTGCGACCGGCTTTGTAGCCGAGGAGTCTTGGCCCGCACGACCTGCGCCCCCTTCTCTCCCCTCGCTTCTGTCGGCTCATTCACGACCAGGATTCAGGAGGCTCAGAAAACAAGCCTCTCTCCGCCTGTCGTGCCCACTCCTTCCAGGTGCCATGACCCCCACTGCAGGCGTCCCCCCCGTTGCGGCCCCCCCCCCCCAGTCTCCTGGGCTCTCACGTCGGGAAGAATTGTAATTTTTTTCTTGACTGGGTCCACGTGGGTCAGAATGGAGACGTCTGGAGAGGCCCTGGGTAGACAGGGCCCAGGGCTCCATAGGAGGCTGTCAGGAGACACGTGCCATCTCCTCGCCAGCCCGAGCCCACAGCCAGGGCACCAAGTGTGAACCCTGATGTCAGCCGTGACGGTGACTGTGGGTCCATCGCCGGGGACGGTGCTGCACTGGGGCAGGGTGTTGACAGGCAGTTGAGGCTTCGTGATGTGAGGCCGGGGGTTCAGGGGAACCCCCCCTCTGCTGCATCTTGCAGTGACTCTAAAGAGTAAAATCTCAGAAGAGAGCAGGTGTGAGGTGTCTCCAGCCCCCCCCCCGGGCGGAGACACCATATGGGAGGCTGACAGCAGAGCTATCAGCTCTGCTGGAGGATAGGCCAGGGGCCACCTGAGGAGGGCGGCAGAGCGGCTCTGGCCCAGAGATGCCAGCGTCACCCCTGCCTGCTGGGGCCCAGGCCAGGAGTGGGGACAGCCCGGAGGGTGACGAGTGCCCCGCGCTCATGCCCCGTCGGCCTCTGCCGGGCCATGCTGCTGGCCAGTCATCCCCGCAGACTGCCGCGTCCCCCAAGTCCGTCCCGGGCGTGTCCGGGTAGGAAGGACCTGGAGAGACAGTGACTCCTTTCATCTCGCTTTGCCCAGGGCAGGAAGGGAAGAGGGACAGGACTGCCCTCGGGCGACAGATGTCCCTTTGAGGCCCCGCCCTGGCCTGCTCACCTTCTGGTGGGTGTCCTGGAGCTGCCCACACTCACAAAGGCCTGGAGGGAAGGTCTCGTGGGCGAGACCCTGCAGGGGGAGGGGACTGTGTGCCGTCTCCACGCCCAGACGTCACCCTCAGACATGTGGGTTTTCCGCCTAACTGCTGCTTTTCTGTGAAGTAGCCCCTGCCCACTCTGGACCCCCTTAGTCCCATGGGCTGTGGGGACGAGTGCGGAGCAGGGGGCCTGTGGCCGCGGGTGGGTAGGGTGGCAGTGAGGGCTGGCGGCCTCTCCTCGAGGGGGCAGCCTCGGCTCAGCTCCAGGGCCTGGCCGGGGAGTGAGGTTTCACCGGCGTCATTGAGTAACTGAAGGCTGGAAGGCCTGACCTTTTCAGGATGGGAAAACAAATCGCCAGCCGCTCTCTGGTTACTCTTTCCCACCCTTTGATAACACCTTGATGAATACGTGATATTCCCGGACTTTGATCACGTTCTAACACAAGGACGTTCCAGTAAGAGTTACAGGTTCCTTATGGGAATAAAAAAACCCTCTTTGAAATCAAAACTAATCACAAATGGAATTCAAAACCGCAGCCCCCCTAGTTCACTCTCCTCCCAGCCCTCCCTCAGCCCCTACCCCTACTCACCCCGAGGCTGGATCCTTCCCAGGGTCCGCTGCAAAGCAAGCCAGGAAACTTTAAGGGGGGGGGGCGGGCTTGACCCTACCCCAGGGCCAGAGGGGGGGTCTCATGCTAGGCAATGACCACTGTGCTCTTGTCGTTGGGATCTTGGGACTGGGACGCGGATGGACCCAGCGGCTTGTCCTCAGCCTCGGGACTTGGGGCTCACCCATAGGAAGTGACGTCACTGCGTTTTTAGGTCAAGTTTATTCCAGGCCTGTCTGGGGGCTGCACGGAAGTATCCCAGCTTTCCCCATAGCAGGGTCCTTCTCTGCTCCACCCCCCCCCCATTCCAGGTGATTGAGGCCTCCTGGAGTGGACATCAGGAGTGACCGAGCAACAGGAGCTGAAGGGATGGGGGGGGGGATTCTGGGGGGCGTGTGGCCTGTAGGGTGGGTTGAACGCGGGTCTTGGTAACGCGGTGCTGAGCCTTGAGGCGCTCTGGAAGGGCTGTGCTTCTCAGGGGGAGGTCTCAATGCCCTTTGTATGTGAAGTGTCGGAAGTCATGGGGAGGACAGTGCCTGCGCTCTCAAAGGAGAAAGCCTGGACGTGACGCTGACGACGGGGAGCCGGTCTCCTGGTGCAGACTGGGCTTGTGCTGTCATGTTCCAGCTCATCGAATCGTGGGACTGCGTGGCGTGGCGGTGCAGGCCGGGCAGGCCAGCCTCGGCCAGGCGTCTCCCACACCCGACCCGTCTCCAGCCTCCGCGTGACGCGTCTGGAGCCGGGGTCCGAGGCAGCTGGAAACGGGATGCGCAACCAGCCTGACCGCTGCCCTTCACGGCCTTTGGGGCAGGCGGGCGCGAGTTCCTCTTCCGCGGAACAGCCGTGGCGTTTAGAGAC